GGGAAGGTTGGGCATAGGGCTAGCAACCCTACCCCGTAAAACAAATCTAACCGCTAAAGAAACTTCAAAGCACAAACAAAATATAAAAAATGAAAACAAACTTATACCCCGCTGGAATCGGAGAGGCGAAATGACGCCAGTTGGTGAAAGCCTTCGGGAAGCCAATTGGCCGATGTGTCTTCTCTCGATGAAAGCGAAAGTAAACGTGGGGACATGGAATGTCCGCACGATGTTTGAACCCAGTAAGGCAGCCCAGATTGCAAAGGAGATGAGAAGGTATAACATCGAAGTGCTTGGGATTTGCGAAAGCAGATGGAATGGGAGTGGACTCTCCAAACTGTCAACTGGAGAATCAATAATCTACTCCGGTCACCCAGACGCCAACCACGAGCACACTGAGGGAGTGGCTATCATGATGTCCTCAAGAGCATCGAAGGCTCTCATGCAGTGGGAACCAATCTCCTCCAGGATCATGACAGCAAGGTTCAACTCAAAAGGAAGAAAGGTCACAATCATACAATGTTATGCACCTACAAATAATGCAGAGCAAGAGAAAAAGGAGGATTTCTACAGACAACTTCAATCAACACTGGACAAGACGTCAGTTGGCGATATCAAAATTCTAATGGGCGACATGAATGCCAAACTGGGAGGGGACAATACGGGAAGAGAACTAACCATGGGTCGAGAGGCGCTAGGTGAAATGAATGAGAATGGAGAATTGTTTGCAGAATTCTGTGCATTCAACGATTTGGTGATTGGAGGCAGTGTGTTCAGGCACAAGGATATCCACAAAGCGACATGGACTTCACCAGATGGACACACTAAAAATCAAATCGACTTTATCTCAATCTCAAGAAAATGGAGACGCAGTCTACTTAACACAAGGTCAAGAAGAGGAGCAGATGTAGGTTCAGACCACTATCTAGTGCAAGGAACCTTCCAAATCAAGTTAAAAGCCTTCAAGGAAGCTGGTGATAGACCTCAATTCAAGTACAACACTCGGAAACTGAAGGATGAAACTACAAAGGAGATCTTCAAAGCAGCCATCAAGACAAAATGGGAGACGTCGAGGGACATCCCTGAAGAAACCTGTGTGGAAGAACACTGGAAGTCTTTGAAAGCTGTGTGGAAAGAAACCTGCACAGCCGTATTAGGAAGGAAGAAGAAAGAAGACAAGGAATGGATCTCGACGGATACCTGGAAGCTGATAGAGGAGAGGAGGATGGTGAAGCAGAAGATAAACCAGTGCAAGGATGCTCAACGACAAGAGGAACTGAGCACAATGTATAAAACACTGGACAAAGAAGTGAAGAAGAGTGCACGCAAAGACAAAAGACACTTCTACGACACACTGGCAAGTGAAGCAGAACAGGCTGCAGGTAAGAGAGACCTGACGACATTGTATCAAATAACCAGGTTGCTATCAGGGAAGAGACCAACACAGATGAAACCAATAAAAGATGAAGAAGGAAATTTAATTACAAAAGAAGAGAAACAGAGGAAACGATGGGCCGACCACTTCAAGAAGCTCTTGAATCGACCACCACCTGCACTTCGTCCAGAAATACCACCTGCAGCCGCTGAATTACAAGTGAACATAAATCCCCCAACGAAAATGGAAGTCCTGAACGCCATAAAGCTACTGAAATGTGGGAAAGCAGCAGGACCAGATGGAATACCGCCAGAAGCACTGAGAACAGATGCAGAGACAACAGCGGACATGCTCACACCACTATTGCAGAAGGTGTGGAAGGAAGAGAAGGTACCTGACGATTGGAAGAAGGGTTACCTTGTCAAACTGCCGAAGAAGGGAGACCTCAGTGCTTGCAAGAACTGGCGCGGAATCACTCTCCTGTCCACCCCAAGTAAAATATTAAGCCGCATCATCCTGGAGAGGCTTAAAGACGCACTGGATTCAAAACTGCGACCGGAACAGGCAGGCTTCAGGAAGTACAAATCATGTGCTGACCAAATTGCAACGCTTCGTATCATCATAGAACAGAGCGTAGAATGGCAATCAGCTCTATACCTCAACTTCATCGACTTTGAGAAGGCCTTTGACAGCGTCGACCGAGAAGTAATTTGGAAACTGCTTCAATACTACGGAGTACCGCAAACCTTTATCCGCCTCATTCAACAACTATATGAAGATGCCACATGCCAAGTAATCCACAATGGGAAGCTCAGTGATGCCTTTGAAGTGAAGACAGGAGTGAAACAAGGTTGCCTACTATCCCCCATGATATTCCTTATTGTGGTGGACTGGATCATGCAGCAAACAGTAGGCAGCGAGAAGAGGGGGATACACTGGACGACGGAAAAGAACCTAGAAGACTTGGATTTCGCCGATGACTTGTGCCTAATGTCACATAAACTTGAAGATCTGCAGGCAAAAACTAACAAGTTGACAGAAGAGGCAGCTAAGACGGGACTTCAGGTGAATATAGAGAAGACAGAAGTGATGAAGATACCGCACCACCACCATCAACAACAACAACAAACTCCAATCACCGTCAACGGGAGAAACTTGAAGGAAGTAACCTCCTTCACTTATCTAGGAAGCACTGTTTCAACTACAGGCGGGACGGACGAGGACGTCAAAGTCAGAATCGGAAAAGCAAGACAGGCGTTCATTAGCCTGAAACCAGTGTGGAGATCTTCTGCACTCAGCATGCGGAACAAGATACGGATTTTCAACACCAACGTCAAGTCAGTGCTCTTGTATGGCTCAGAGACTTGGCGCGCCACGAAAGGTATTTCCAATAAACTACAGACATTCATCAACAACTGCTTACGCTCGTTGCTGAAGATCAGATGGCCAGAAAAAATAAGCAACAAGGAACTCTGGGAACGAAGCAACCAAGAACCTATCACGCAACAAATATGCAGGAAGAAGTGGAGATGGATTGGGCATGCACTGAGAAGGCCGACTGAGGACATCACGCGTCAGGCCCTCGAGTGGAATCCCTATGGGAAGCGACGAGTTGGACGTCCGAGGGTGACATGGAGGAGGTCATGCGAGGAGGAAATGAGAGCTTCTGGGCTGTCGTGGAACCAGGTTCAAAAGATCTCAGAGAACAGAGGTCACTGGAGGCGTGCTACTGAAGCCCTATGTTCCACTCGGAACCCAAGGGACTAATAATAATAATATAATAATATATATATATATATATATATCAGATTTTTTTTAACTGTCTTAAAATTCTCATGGAATGTCGCACGTTTCTAGTTTATACTTTCCAGTGAACCCATCGGTACTTAATTAATCTTTATAATACCAAAGAGCAGTGTGCATTTTCTAAACCAGGTCCGTTGTACCAAGTAACGACAATTTTATTGAACCCTTGGTAGAAAGTCAGAAATTAAATAATTCGCCCCTTTTACCCGCCGATAGAACATGACTATTATTCCATGTTAATGGCATGTATCTGGTTTCTCTTACGAACTGATTTGTTTCACAAGTGATCTTTACGAATTAGGACTCGAGAATATTTGTTTTACATTTATCCACCAATGCACTGATGTATCACATCTATACCGGAGTTGGAAGTGAAGTGGGAAAATATTCCAGTCAAAAACCATTACTTTAGACAACTTTAAAACCTATTGTTTAAACCTTTAATGATGACCTTGCAAGATAAGAATATTGATGCATCATTGGATAAGAACGAAGAAATTCACCCACTGAAGTTCCTAATTAATTTGTTGGCTAGACTCTCTGGCACTTACTGATTCTTGCATAGTGAAATATTAATCGGGGCCAACCAAAAAATTCTTTCACAGAAAGGTTTAAACCGATTGTTTTTTGGTGACATTCCAATAAAACACAGCTGCGTCACAATTTTAGTAATAAATTTTATCCAACTTAATAATGAATAAATTAGGACGAAAACATCAAGTAATAAAGGCGAAATTTTCCAATAACCATAAAAGTGGAATTTGGTTTATGTAATGAAATAAAGTTCCACGTTGTTTTATTTATTTGAAATAGAACTTATTGATACAGTACTTTTTACTGGTGACGTTTTGAACCAAGTTCATTTTCCATAATTATGTCAAGTTAGTCAAAAAACTTTCAAACTTCATTTATATGGTTAAAGTGCTATTTAATCCTTAGTCTTAGTGGTATTTGCACTTTGGTTTGCAACGTGACTAAAAGGTTAGACGGAGTAAAAATTGTAAAATTCAATGTAATTTAGCGGACAGATGGACTGTTAAATGAATCCTTTTTCTTTGGATCAACACTCAATTTATGTAACATGAATAACTCAACATGTAACCCAGACATTTGAAAAAGTTTCCTGCTACTTAAAATAAGAGATTAAGGAACCGTATAGTTAAGAAGGCGAAGTATGAAAAGTGAGTGAATACGCCAATGGAATCAAGTGCAATACATACATTCTTATCACAAACGCCTTCACTTGAATTATGCTAAATAACTTTGTTATGGTAAGGGAATAAACCCACATGAAATCATCTAAAAGAAAAAGTCACGTTCTTCAATATAAAGGACTATCATTAAGAAGTTTTTCTCACCTGATCATCGTTAGCACTGTCTACGTTGCACTGAAGTGGCCTTTGTTTTCGTTATTTTAGCAGGGATTATGACTGTGATGAACTTCAACATGCTGTTTTTCATTTGTAATAATTTCGTTTCAACTAGTTTTCATTTTTAATAATTCTGCTGTTTCTCTTAGGACTGAAGTTTGATTAGATGGGCAAAATAAGTATTCTGAGCTATATTAGTATTTTCGACTGTAGTATATGCATATATGTAGTGAATATAGATTCAATGACAATGAATGATTCCGCAGCTAAATTACTGTCAGTATTGATAACCTTAATTAAATACCCACCCAGTGATCATAGAATCAGGACCCAATTACCGGGAGCTTTTCTTGTGGAAGCGTCAACGGTATCACTTATGTACGATGAAAAATAAGTTTAATAATATTAAAAATCAAGCATGTTTACGAATTGCTTTCCTTTTAACTTACTTGATACATAACCTCGTCCATAGCGTCTACTACATCTACGTTTAGCATTGTGTTTTTAAGTGTTCGACCCATAAAAAACTCCATGGATAGAAAGTAGACAGTCTAAAATTGTAAAATTAATAACTTTAACTACTATTGCACATGCATTCTATAGTTGTTTTTCCAAATTAACGAACGTACAACCTCTCTTTGGTAGTAAAACACTAACAACAAACTCAGCCAAAAAACTATAATATGGGGGGGGGGGAATGCAGTTTTAATAGACATTATTTTATGTATAAGTAGACACAAGATTAATCTACTAAGAAGAAAATTGTCGACTTGATCATTCTCTTCTACTTTTAGTTAGAAATGAAATCGAAACGTTTGAAAACGACACACACAAGCGATTGAGTTGTTTGGGAAAATTAATGTTAGATACAATATGGTGAGGATTTAAACATATACTAACGCTCATAACATTAAAAGGGGGGATATTTTTGAATACTCCATAGATCTCATAGAACTTCTGACATACGATATTGGTGAAACCAAAAGTGTAGTCGATACTAATTAGTCTTGTCATTTTCTAACCTACTATTGTGACAAACGTAAATATCATGTAAATGAAGATGGTATTAAGGCGCACCTAATGTCTTGATTCTGTTTATTCTAAATGCATCTGCAAGAATTTGTTTTGAAAAATTTATTACTACTTCTGACAGTTTTGATTTAATATTCACTTTGTCATGTTGCATAATAACAAGATGGTTTGTTTTTATGGGCAACCACTAAAAGTTCCAGACTAGATCGGTCTATCTGATATTTTACTGTATGCTATATTGAATAGATTAATCTGTTATAGAGTTACATCCCACTACAATATACAAATTTCATGCTTAAGCTAACCACCAGAAGCTTATTCACTTCACTTTTTAATTTTCTAAATACTATTCTTAGATTGTTTTTCAACGTATCACCCAATATTATTACTTAATATCTTAAATAATTTTCACCGTTGACTGGATTTTATTAACGAAATTTAAAATAAGGAAACCATACTCAGTGGTGTTGAGTGTTAACAGGCAATCGACGGTAAGCTCTCGTGAAATATCCTGCTAAATGTTGAATAACAGATGCACTGGTCACCAATCCATTGTTTGAACGTTTTACCATCTTCATGCGTTTCATTTGTATGCCCACTCTCATAAAATGTTACTGGCTTCAAAATAGTTACATATCATCTTTACACTCTTTCTTTGTGTTTTTGAGTTTTGCAACCGAAACTGATGCACTCTTCTTTGAAGTTCTCTGTTGATCAATTCAGCTATTTGATGAGATGCATGGAATTCTATTGTAACGTTTTTAGAGGCTCTCAGTGATTATTAAGTGCAGTTCTTAAAGAGATATAAACCCACGTCTTCAGATTTCGATTGGAAGTACCGCCACTAGACTATTAGATCTTATGCAACCAATGGTCAGCAAATAATAAACAGTGATGCGTTCGGTCCTCAGTACTCATTAAGTTCTATTGAACACATTTTAAATAGAAAAGACAGGAAACTTTCTTTCTAACCATCTAGTAGTCAATTTACCTTTTCTTTACTCCGATTCATACATACCTTCACACTTTTAAGAACCAAGTTGAATACTTGTGGCTTTTAGATCGAAGCCGTCTGACAAGTAAAGCAACAATTAAGAAGTAAAGTGTGATGAAATTCACTAAATATGGTCAGAAATATGCAGTACAACACAGCCTTTGTTGAAAAAGGCTACAAGTGTTTGCTAAGAAATGTACTGAAAATAGAAGCATTTAATTAAGGGTCAACATGGTTTATTATGTTTATATTTAATGCTCGTACACATCACAATGAGTAATATTTTTTGTTGAAGCTTTTATCCAGTTCAGTATTGAGGTACGTAGTTTCAACATTCAGATGAACACATAATAACAATATAAATTTTACGATTGACAGATGAACGTAAAGTTAACTAATACAGCAGCGTGATTATAATTTTTGAATCCGTTTGAATGGAAACTAGTACAGACCTACTCTGTCCTTGGCTTTATGATGACCCAGACAAATGTGATAGTTTTGCATGAAAAATCAATAAACGTGTATCCAAATATCTAGATTATCCTGTTCTGTAAACTTAATATTCTGGAGTGTTCAATTAATTATACGCACCCATTTCTCTGCAACAACATCACGTTCTGGCTTCTTTTCGTAGTACTTTACAATAAATACTGTGGTTATCTGAATGAGAATGAGTGACATCTTGATAAACTACCTATTTAATGTTCAAAGTGGAATTTGGACAAGCTAACCTTTATCAACTTCAACAGACTACCACTGTCACTCAAAATATTCTCTATAGAGATTTACGAGGCTGTTGTTGATTCACACTTGTAGTTTTAAGTATATTATTAAAACATTAGGCCGGAAGACATCTGAACGAGAATTAACATTTAAACAGTTTAAGATATTATCAAAACTAACATCAGAATATTGTTAAGATTTCTCCAGTAACTGTAGAATAGCGCAATATTCATGTAACCTGGAGGTCCTTATCTTAACACTGTGTAGAACGTTTTCGGGTAAGCATTGCCAACAAGGACGCTAGAGATTCAAACTCACTCTTCCTACTTTAATGTTAAAACTCAGGTAGTACAATGAATTCTAATACTTTTCAAGCATAACCTGACATGAACATATTTTTCTGAGTCTAATGAACTTATGTGTGACATAAAATTTTGTGTCACTTGAACAGAATTCCATTACTGATGGTCGAAACTTATAGGGACCTAAGAGTTACAGCTGATCATGAACAAAGTGTAGCGAAATAAACTGACTAGTTGTTTAACTTTTGTATTCAAAATCTGTGAGTCGGCTGAATCTATCATCAAAATAGCACACAAGAAAAGGGTTTTGTATAAGTGGTAGGTTGTCATTTAAAACTACATAATCAAGTCTGAATACTTGGTGAGTATTGAATGTTCATTTCCGTATGTGCATTTAACTTCTCCACTCATGCTTTAGTTTGTATTGATCCTCTGTTGTGCTTTTTTATGTTTTTTCATAACCTCAGTTTTATTCCATAATGCCAACAATTATTTTAAATCACAGAAAACTTATATTTTCAATAGCATATGACTATCACTCTGAAATTTTGAATTTTTCAGCTCATAGGGCTTTTGGATAAACTGCTACTTTCAGAAACTTGCAACAAACCATATTTCATTTGAAGTACTATTACAGTACGATAAGAAGTATGATAATGTGTTGCTTAGCGTTTAAAACTGACTTCAGCAAGTTCTGATCAGGCCTCTTGCAAAGACCAACCGAGAAAAGGATGAGAAAATTCCGGACTGTTCAGCCCCGGCATCAATTTCAGTCGCAGCACCTACAACAAACTGTATACTGCATTTATACTCTTATACGTCATGTTTCGTTTTTGGGATTATCTGGAGCAACCGACAAAATATGAATGCTATTGAAAAAATCGAGTTGATTGTTGTTCCGGCATCTACAACTTCTAGGACATCTAACTAATATGGACAATTTTAGCGGAAGTAGTATTAAATTGGTAGGGAAATAAGGTAATAACACCAAGGCGTTAAGCCAGTCCATGAAATCTCTGAGTGCTTTTTTAAACAGTTTAAGCTACCTGGTTAAGATATTTGGAACAAAATGAATCGCCAGTTGAAGACTGAGCTAAATGAATCAAACAAGTCACAGTGGCACAAATGCATACAGTATTCATCTTCATTTGAATAATCAACACTTTCATTTACATATCGTTACTCCTACCATATAGTTCTGTCTGCTTCAGTATCATTCTTTTTTTCTGCACTTCTCTCCGGCCTATATTTAATCGTGACTACTTGAAACGACTCCCCTATGGGAAAGATTTCATGCTAACATCCCTACCTGATTGTCCAGTATCCCTCATGATTGCTTTTCCCGAACACAATACAGTTGGGCATACAACTCAGCTCCATAAACAGCTTTTCCATATCCAATAAGTGATGCACAGGGTATCACGTAATCTCATGTCTTAAAAGCTTTTAGGCTCCAAATTCTAAACGTGCTGAAGAAAAATTAACCTAGAAGAATTAATATGGAGTTACTTTTGTCTTTCACTGAGGATAGATAGGTGCATGCAACGTAAGTTGAGTTTCACTTCAGGTCATCACTTAGAATAAATGCACTTCAAAAAATGGAAGTAACTCTATGACTACTAGCAAAGGTGTTAAAGAAAAACCAAAAGCAGTGAAGATATGTAGCGGCAACATTTTCAAGACGTAGAGGAAAATACAACATGAATGTGTCTGCATCAATGGGAGAAATCTTTTTCAATAATCCATATATGTTTCCTGAAGCACCTCAAGAAAGAGGCCTACACGTATTCACTTGATCAGTTACAGGAATTTTCAGCTTCAAATTGGTGTAAGCTAATCACCTATACACCTCTTTGCTTCTTCCCAACCTTTTTCAGGCTAATATATTGCATGACGTCTAATCTGGCCTGGAAAGCCATATCTGTCTGTCAACAGTTTCATAACCCCACCAACTGACCCAGTCCCTCAACTTAAGACTCAATATAGCCTCTGCATCCCACACAAGATCATCCTATTAAATTAGAGACACACTAAGACAAAAATAGGTAAACACCTGGATTATCTTTATTGTCTCTACAGTTACCGAAAGTATTCGAAAGCGATTTTCCAAGATAAAATGTTAAACATTGGTGACGACTGCTATTTCTACTAACTACTAAGCCGTTTTCCATGCACTGACATTTAACAATCACGTGGATACTAACACAAGAATCTCCTCCCTTTCTGTAAGCGTTTGAGTGACCAGAAAATTTCTACTTTCCGATCCCATTATAGCAGTTTTAACAGTCATATGAAAGTTAGTTTTGCAACAGTTTTCAACAGCAAAATATACAAACAGATGAAAGGTACCCGATAGGATCACCGATATCCAGATTAATTGCAGAAGCAGTGATGCGGAGACTGGAAGCCATTATTCTACTTGTGATCAAACCAAAAATTTGGATTC